AACACCTGGCTATTTTTTGGTTGTAGCCGTCATTGTTGTTTGGCAAGCCCAGGCTGGATTTGATCCCACCACCTTAGACGTATGTGGCTGGTGCCTTAACCACCTGACCCACAGGCGCTGAGCCATGACTAATAATCTTGTGGAATTTATTTTTCTTGCAAGTATCAGTTGATTCCCTTGAGTTCCCCAATAAAATATCACCTAGAAATAAGGTACAAAGTTCAAGGGGCTTTAGTTTTAGGCTCCATAACCCTCAGGATACCACTATTATCAAAGAACCTGTCTTTTACATCTTTACAAACCATATCCTTTCTCTCCATGTCCCCCAGTGGGAACATGGTCCTCCTGGGCTCTGACTGAGGGAAGCCGGCTGAGGGGCAAGGAGCCCCAGCAGGTGTACCGCCGCTGCTGCACCTACTCACATGGCAGAAGATCATGGCTTGAGCAATCGTGATGGCCCCGTAGAGGTTACACAAGGCCTGGAACTTCTCATCTCTGCTATTGCACAGGACGTAATACTGCTTGATGGTGTCCAAGGTCTCCTCCTCGCGCTTCAATTTGATAACGTTTGGGTCTGGGACCACTTTCTGGGCAAACTTCCACACAGAGTCTTCAAAGGTGGCAGAGAAAAGCAGCATCTGGCAGTTCCGGGGCAGCATCCTGCAAGGGAAGGCCCAGGTATCTGGCACCACCCTGCCGCTTTCCGTGGACAGAGCAGGTGCACAGCCTCCCCAGCCTGCGTGGTCTGGATCCCCTGAAAGGAGCATCTTGGGGAGGAGCAGCAGACCTGGGTGGGCACAGGGCTGGGTGAGAGTTCTTAGGTCTCCTCTTCTCACCCCAGGCTGGGAGGATGCATGGTCAGTGCGGACACGGAAACGGCCCAACAAAGCAATGCTGCTGAAAGCTCAAGAGTAGGAGCCCCACAGAAACAAGAAGGGGCATATTAAAGGGAGCAAAGGGAGAAGGTGCTGCAGATCAGGAGGGTGAGAAGTCCCTCCTCCCGTGAGAGTCCTACCTCTGGATGCGGATGCTCTGGTCCTGGTGGCCCTGAGTAGCTATCATCACATCAGCCTCGTCCAGAACAAACACTTTGATCTTCTTGGGGTCAATGAACTTGAGCTTGGAGCACCAGTCCAGGACGGTCCCAGGGGTACCAATGACAATCTGCTCACTGATCTTTTGACCCCTTTCCACTGTGGAGACCCAAGATGTTTTCCGTGGGTATTCAAAGGCAAAGCTAACTCTGGAAATCAAAGTTCTACCCACCCTTCAGGACTAGTAGAACAAGTTAATCCCAAATTTTGAAACACACAATTTTCCCTCAAGTCTTGGCTTCTTCTGGGGTCAAGTAGGCAGAATCAAATCCCACACAGCGAACCCTAAACAAGTGTCAGTTCCCTCTACCTTCTTCTCTAATTCAACATCATCTAACTTTATCTTTACTTTTGTTCTTTTCTTAACATCCATTCACTCACAGTTTACTAAGCTCTTCCTAAATTGGTAGTAGTGAGTTCCAACAGCCAATAATTTTTTGCTATTATCTGGTCTCTAGGCATTCTACTTGTGTTCATACTTCAACTAATTACAAATTTTCTTTGATTTAAAAAATACTACACTATGGCCAGGTGCTGTGGCTCACACCTATACTCCTACCACTCTGAGAGGCCAAGGCAGGAGGAATGCTTGAGGCCAGAAATTCAAGACCACCTTGAAGCAAGAACAAAACTTTATCTCTACAAAAAACAGAAAAGTTAGCCAGGCATGGTGGCTTGTGCCTATAGCCCCAGCTACTTAGGAGGCTCACGCAAGAGGATATCTTGTGCCAAGGAATTTGAGGCTGGGCTATGATGATGCCACTGTACTCTAGGCCAGGCAAGAGTAACTTCAAAAAGCAAATTACATGGCTCGGCGCCTGTGGTTCAAGCGGCTAAGGCGCCAGCCACATACACCTAAGGTGGCAGGTTTGAATCCAGCCTGGGCCTGCCAAACAACAATGATGGCTGCAACCAAAAAATGGCCAGGCGTTGTGGCGGGCGCCTGTAGTCCCAGCTACTTGGGAGGCGGAGGCAGGAGA